CCGTTGCACAGGCGACATATAATACGAGATCGTTTTACCTATCCTCGTCTTTACCATTTACAGAAATGTGACGCAATGCCGCGTCGTATGCTTTACAATTACACCGCTGATATACCTTCGGAGATGGCATCATTCGTTGGCAAGTGTGATTTCGTATGCATCGCCTTTTTTTTTTTTTTAATAACATTGTCGATCAGTCGATTAATAGAATTTCTTTTACAATTTCGCGTCGAACAAAGTTAGTCGAGTTGTGACCATTTCTCTTCATTTTCTGATTTATATTACCGACATCTCGGTTTGTACAAGAAAATTGATCGATGTGACTTGTTTCACTTCACTACTGAGTTCAATCGTGCAAGAAAGAAATGTGAAGAGCGCAGTACAATAAATCCTATTTTATTTCGCCTCTGGACGAAAACTTGCTGTTTGCTCGGTCGTGCTAGGTTACCATAGTGGATGTAACAAGTGTAAATTGTTGGGAAAGCGTTTATAATCGTGCAAAGTGGCCTTGAACATGACACTGCGCATTTTATCAAACGATCTCTCCTTAGAACTCGAGTGCAATCGATTGCAATGTCCGTGCTGGACATGGCTGGAAAGCTTTCAAATGTTTTGACATGGAATTACATAATGCACACACGTGATGAATATGCATTAAAATATCGGTAGAGGTGTAACACGTGTAACAGATCGTGCAACTGCGAGTGGTTTAGTTCGAAATTGGCAACGTAACGCATCTCTTCTTATCTAACTTATAATACATTCATACAAGATTAATACAATTTATTCTTTTCTTATTGTTTATTAATTATATCAATATAATTACTTGAATTTGGTATTTGTAATTCCCGCGTTCTGAACGTAATTTGTTACTATCAGGCATCGCTGTTACAATTAACAAGTGAACCGCTAAGTGAATATCAGTCGTGAACGCGGTTGGTTATGAAGTTCTTTATGGAATGATAAACAATCTCTGCATGCATGCATGCCGCGTTCAACATTAGGGAGGAATTTACAAGAGCTCGCTTGCAGTGTTGCCTGCAATATTATGTAGCATTCATTTACATTCTTCCCTCAATAGTAACTACAATTAAATGAGGATTCTTTCAGATATACAGAATTTTCTTTTTCTTTTTTTTTTTTTTTTTTACTAAAAGTAAAATCTTAAGAGGAGAACAAAATTAAGAGGACAATTCTACAAACGTATAAGGCTGAAATTACAATCGCGTTGGAGATGCAGGAAGGTTCGACACGGTTTTTTGACTATTATATAATGTGTGAATTATTTGTACCACAAATGGCCTGGCATCGTTAGCGCCGATTGCAAAACAGGATCATCAAATTTTCACCACTGGAAAATGCGTATGAAATTCCCTGTCTCGAGTGTGTAGATTAATAATGATGCTTCCTCGTTTCACTTACTCACTTTTTTCCTTTTTTTGATAGGACATGAAAAAACGTGGCAGTGGAGGCTTGTTGTCACATCTTGCTTTCGTTTCCCTGAACTTAGAAATCTCCAAATTTTCTGTAGATTCTTACACTTTGGATTCATTTTCGACAGACATCGTAATACTCACAAGTATATTGTTTCTCATTGACTAGATCA